CCTCAGCATGGCCGGAGAAGCGGTGTGTTGGTGCGCGCCCGGGATCCGAACCCGGGCCACCAGTAGTGGAGCGCGCACACTTAACCACTAAGCCATGGAGCCGGCCCCTGTATTTAACAAACTTTTAATTTTAAAATATTTTTTGTGAAAATGTCGTAAATATAAAAATGGCAAGGAGAATTTAAACCACCCATAATCCCATCATCTTCTAGTTATTTCCTTTCACATTTAAGAAGAGACCAGCTTGTGGGGCCGGCCCAGTGGCGTAGCGGGTAGGTTCACACGTTCCGCTTCGGAAGCCTGGGGTTCGAGGGTTCAGATCCTGGGCTCGGACCTACACACTGCTCATCAAGCCATGCTGAGGTGGTGTCCCACACAGAGGAACCGGAAGGACCTACAACTAGGATATACAACTATATACTGGGGCTTTGGGGAGAAAAAAGAAAAAAAAAGAGGAAGACCAGCAACAGATGTTAGCTCAGGGCCAATCTTCCAAAAAAAAGAAGAGACCAGCTTGGGAATCACAGGAGTAAAGACAGGCTCTTACCCGCCGCCGCCTCTCCTCTGCCAACTTCTGCTGTTGCACCTCCTCCTCCTTCCGCCGCTTCCGCTCCCTCTCCTCCCGTTTCCTTCTTTCTTTCTCCTGGTCAGCCCTGAGAGAGGCCAAGTAGGCCTCATCCTGCTGTTGTCTCAGCACCTGGGTCTGGTTTCGTTCTTCCCTGCAGACAGATCAGAAGCATAAAAGGAAAAAAGCAATCTTACAAAGCTCTGTGTTTTCTTATATTGAAATTTTCGGGGGGATAAAAAAGTTGACAATCTTGGTAAATGACTATTTCACACCACCATAAGGGATTACAAAGCAGAGCATGGCAGAATCTGAGTAAGTCGTCTCTTTTCCTAGTTTAATTTGGCAGAAAAAGAAATGGCAAGCTTTTCCTTCCTCTTTTAACTTTTCAAAGAAACCTATCTTTTTCCCCAATTCTACCAAAAGTAACATGATACTATTGATATAACACGATCATCAAGATCTTATTTTACAGGGCCGGCCCCATGGCATAGCGGTGAAGTGCGCGCGCTCCGCTGCTGGTGGCCCGGGTTCGGATCCCGGGCGTGCACCGACGCACCGCTTCTCCAGCCATGCTGAGGCCGCGTCCCACATACAGCAACTAGAAGGACTTGCAGCTATGACATACAATTATCTACTGGGGCTTTGGGGGAAAAATAAATAAATAAATAAAAAATGATAAAAAAGATCTTATTTTACAGGTAAATATTCTTTTGGGTTACTGTATTTTTGTATATGTTGCTTTCCTAAAATCAAAAACTCACATATACACATCTTAGAAGATTTGAAAAATGTAGAAACATCTTATTCAGAGTTCTACTAACCAAAGAGAAAATACTAACGTTTTGGTGTAATTCCTATTTTCTCTCCAAAAAATTATGTATGTATTTGTTCCCATCAACAGGCTTGGGAAAACCTACTGTGATTGCTCGGTGGAGACTTCCAGCGAGTGTTCTAGCATCTTTCCAAAAGTTAGAGGTTCATTTTGCTAAATCCCTTTCAGGATGTTCCCATTGGGCCAGTTTCAAACCCAATGTTGGGCCTGACCTTCACCAACAAGCATGTGGATTAGCTGAGATAAATCTGAAAACCCTGGCTGGGAAGTCTGAATAACTATGTTAAATTCATCAGCAAATTGATGGGGGTCTTCGGTTGCCTTAGGAAAACCCTCAAATATGGCTTGCAATTTAGCTTCAGTCTAGGGAACAGAGTAGATGGCATGGGGGTGGAGCTGGAGACAAAGGAGGGGGGACAAGAGGCTTCCAAGCCATTTTGTTTTCCTTTAGTTGGTTATCTCGGTTAATTTAGACATGGTGTTTTGCAGAGAGGCAATTTTAGAGTCCTAAATATGCTTGGAGGCCTCAAGGTACCAGTTAAAATAGGCATCCCATTCAGTCTGTATGATTTTAGAGCCGTAGCTTTCTAATTTAGTTCTGAGAAAAACAAGTGTGGGGAGATCAAAAATCCCCCATAATGGCCATTGGTGTTTTAAGTCATTTTTTATGAAATCAGTCCATTTAGTTAAAGACGTGCATGAGGAGGGATCAGAGTTTTTAAACAGAAAACCAGCCAGGGTCCCTGAAGGAGGGCTGCCCCTAGAGCATTTAGATGACTGGGATCCCACTTCTCAAATTTTCCTAAGAACAAAAGAAAATTCTTAGCTAGTCCAATTCCAAAAGGAACCTTACCAAAGTTTCAGCGCACTTTCAAAATGAAAATAACCGAGTACTCACCAAGAATGAAGCCTTGAACCAGAAAGGACAAAGCCTTTCATGATCCCGAATAAAGTCAGAGAGCTCAAAATGCAAGGAGAGTAGAGCTCAGAATCTGAGAGGAGAATTACCAACTGAAAGTAAGCAGCGACTCACGGAAGCTATGAGCACAAGGGGCTCATTGCAGGTACCTCACGTGATTTTGGGGGTCACTGTCTCTCAACCAGGGTCACCTCCTTTGGATCCCACTTTCTGACACCATTTAATGTCGACTTTATTTATTTTTATTTTTTTTGTGAGGAAGATCGGCCCTGAGCTAATATCTGATGCCAATCCTCCTTTTTTTTGCTGAGGAAGACTGGCCCTGGGCTAACATCCATGCCATCTTCCTCTGCTTTATATGGGATGCTGCCACAGCATGGTTCAACAAGTGGTGCGTCGATGCACGCCCGGGATCCGAACTGGCGAACTCCGGGCCGCCGCAGCGGAGTGCGAGCACTTAACCGCTTGTGCCACCGGGCTGGCCCCCTAATGTCAACGTTAAAGTAAAATAGCATTAAAAAAAAAAAAAATTATGTATGTATATAGGAGTGTGTGTGTGCATGTGTGTGTCTGTAACACTAAAAGAAAATATACCAGAATGTTAAAAAGTGGTTAAAAGTGGTGGTAGGATTACACATGGTTTATAAATTTCTTCTTTGCGCTTTTCTGTGTTTTCCAAATCTACAGTTATTGTACATTACTTACGTAACGGTGTTGCTAGTACCGTTGAGTTGATTCTGACTCTTAGTGACCCTGTGTAACAGCAGAGGGGAACCCTGCCCAGTCTTTTTGCACCATCCTCTCACCTTCCAGCGCTGTATCAGACAATGCTCCACTGCTATTCATAGGGTTTTCACGGCCAAGTCTTTTGGAAGTGGGTGGCCAGATCCTTCTTCCTAGTCTGTCTTAGTCTGGAAGCTCTGTTGAAACCTGTCCACTATGGGTGACCCCACCGGTATTTGAAGAACCAGTGGTACAGCTTTCAGCATCAAAGCAACACACAGCCACTGCAGTATAACAACCGACAGACGGGTGGTGTGGTTCCCTGACTAGGAAATGAACCTGGACTGCAAAGGTGAGAGCGCCAAGTCTTAACCACTAAACCACCAGAGCTGGCATGTGTAATGGGGAGAGGAGTGATAACCATTCCTCGTTTTTTACATTTAAGTTATCACATTCAGCTATTCTAACCGACACAATATACATTCTTGAGCATAGAACCCTATTTTTATTTTGAATCACATCTCCAAGAACCGATGATCTAATGAAGAGTTATTTAGGTCAAAGTATATAAATATTTTAACACTAAATGGAGACGGCTTTTAAAGTTGCCTAAGACAGAGAAAAAGTCAGGATTTGTGGAGCCCTGGGTCAGCCACCCAAATCTACAGCTGGTCTCTCTCTGGGTTCCAGAGAAGAATTGCCCTGTACCTTTCTAGACGTTCTGACATCAGGTAAGTCTGGTTTGCATCCATGATAAACGTCAGCTGGTTAATGAGGTCATCAGGTTGAATGAGGCCTTCTAGCCGTCCCACCACAGTCATCCTCCGATCCTTCAGCATAATCATGGCCAGGAATGGATAGGTGTTCTCTCGTAAAGCCTGCGAGACTAACAGAAAGAAGACCCAACAGATCAAGGGCAGGACTTAGGGATGAAACAGAGCAACTCTTCGACTTTCCACAACAAGCAAGAGAGAACTGCTTTAGTCTCAGTTGGGAAAGAAGGGAGGTGTCATTTACTTTCTGCCGGCCTTTTCTTCCTCCTAGTTTCTTAATATTTTTGTTGTTGTTGTTATGTGTTTGTGTCCCTATTCCCAGGTAATTTGATTAGAGTAGGATAGGCTTTTCTGGTGGGGGTGTGGTTGACATGATGCTGGGGAAGGCTGTGGAGTTCAAGGACAATGTCTATTTGACGGTAGGAAAAGGATCTATAAAGACTGGCTATTGCTTAGCATGATTTTTCCCTATGTCAGGGGTCAGGCCTAAAGGGGACAAGGCTGCAAGTCTCAGCATTATGCTACTGGTGATGATCTCCACCATCATCTTCTTCTGTCTTTTCTTCTTCTTATCCAACCCCTTCCTCACCCCTTTTCCTATGTCTTTTTTTCCCTCCCCTCCAAAAAGGCTAGCTTTTCTGTTCCAAAGGAGTTGAGAAAGTTGGTCTTCCAAATAACCAAGATTTTTACTATAATGGGAGTTTTACCTGTTTTCCTTAGGGTTTGAAAGAAGAAATTTTTATAAGCTTCTATAAAAAATATCCTATCAACCACCCCCCACCCTCAAAGCCATATTAGAATGGCATAACGGATGCTGCAGGAACTTATCAGGTATTTAAAAACCAATTAGAAGTAAAGATTCAGATTCCACGATGCAGGCAAAACATCTGCACATCTTTGTTCTCAGGATCCAGCGCAGGGACTGGTATGCTAGTGTATACTCAGAAGTTGCTGAACAGAAATAGCTGCAAAGTAATGACATTTTTCTTCACTAGATGCCTTTATACCTTATAGTGACTCCTAAAAATACTTACCTCCAGTTAAGAGTTATCGTCAGCAAAGATCTGAACTTTCTGAATCTCTGTCAGCACTCAAGGCACTCAAGAACAACTATCTCATTATGTAAGAAGCTCTGTTAAAATTGCTGATAATGAGAATAAACTCTTGAGTAAAAAAGCTCATTAAGATTAAAGGCAAGATGCTGGCCAGGTCTGGGTGTTTTTAAAAATAAAACTCTGGCAATTATTAACTGTAAAGAATGGGCTAGAGTCTGACAGACCAGAGCTTGCTCCAAAACTTGCTAACTGTGTGATCTTTGCCTAGTGGCTTAAACTCTCTGAGCCTGTTTCCTAAACCATAAAGTAGAGGTAATATAACCCCCACCTCTCAGGACTGCTGAGAGAATTAAATGAGATAATTATAAATAGCAATTAGCATTGTATCTAACACAGAATAATCACGCAATAAATGGTGTGTCTTTCCAGATTATTCAAAGATATCCCAACAATCTCAAGGAGGCAAAAGAAACACAACTTACCTCTGTATCCCTCAGGTTTGTTTGTGGAGCACGCCCAGAAGAGCATCCTAGTGTTTATTAGTGAAATAACTTCAGGTGCACAGAGTGTGTTGCTGTGGAGGGATGAAAAAGACATGAGAAGAACTTGCTTACTACAAACTATCAGCAGATAAGGTCAGAAAAGAGGAAGAGGGGCCGGCCCCGTGGCTTAGCGGTTAAGTGCCCGCACTCCTCTGCTGGTGGCCCGGGTTCAGATCCCGGGCGTGCACCAATGCACCACTTGTCTGGCCATGCTGAGGCCGCGTCCCACATACAGCAACTAGAAGGATGTGCAGCTATGACATGCAACTATCTACTGGGGCTTTGGGGGAAAAATAAATAAATAAAATTAAAAGAAAAGAGGAAGAAAACGACCAATGCACTTACCGACAGAATTCATCAGAGTCCTGGTGATCATCTCCATGAAGATAAACCAAAAGAAAGCGAAGTTCCCGCTTGGCATCGTTAAGTGCCTGTGGGAAACAGAAAATCATTAACTATTATGATGACTGTGCCCTGAGCTTTTAAGTAGCCTAAGGGTCCTAATGGATACAGCTACGTATTGAGGAACCAAGGAGAAATGAGGAAAGAAAGGTGAGCAGGAAATCAGATCCCCGGCCTCCTACCTTCACACCCCTTGCGTTTTTCTCCCTATAGAAAGTCCATGCTAATAAGCTTTAATGAAAAGGTTTTAGTGTTGTTAGGATCTAAATTGTATCAGGTACATGAGAGTAGACAGGCTGACAAATAACGGTCCCTGACAAATCACAGAAAACTCAGCTGTTCCCACAGCCTAAAGGAAGATAAAACAGGAGAATCTGACCTCGTGAAAAGGGAGGTGAGAATTTTGCCACTTTACAGCTATGACATCCCTGTAAATAAAAAATACTGCCAAGATGAGCCCAATCCCCGGCCACGTACCCAGGGATGAGGGACTACGGGACCCAGAGGCATTCTAAAGAGCATGGGGTTTAAAAGATCTTCAAAGACAAGGCTGATATTCAAGATTCCTGTGTGTGCTTTTGCATTTGCATAATCCCGAGCACGTGACAGTTCAATTAAGATTTCCTGAATGACCAATGGTGGTCTACCCTCAGGATCATAGCAGAGAGGGTGCATGCGAGTGCCTACTTCATTCACGTGTGTATCTTGAGCGCTGAGCACAGTGCCTGGCATCTAGTAGGTGCTTAACGCTTGCTAAGGGGGGTGGCAGCAGCCAGTGAGAAGACCAACTAAGAGAAAAAGCAGATGTGGGAGAACCAAAGCAGGAAGGAAGAGTAAGCATTTTACTCTTTCTCCAGATAGATTCAGAAATCCTGGAGGCTGCAGAATCACCCTTTTACTTATGCCTTCAGTGTTATTTCTAATTTTTCTCTGGGAAACTAGGGATATGCCTAACACCCACAGAAGTCTTAATTTTTTGCCTCCTGAGAGGTAACAGTCAAACGTCTGTGTGGCTTGGGTTGAATGAGATGTGCTGCCTTGAGTCTATGGTCTATGCCCTTATTCAATTCTATGAGGGATCAAAGAAGACTTAGGCTTTGCCTTTGAGGGGCTTATAGTCTGGTATAGGAGATAAGCCATAAACACAAATAACTAAAATATAAGAAAAAATGTGAAATTGCTACAAGTTTTAAAAAAAAGCTATGAGAGCAGAAAAGGAAAGATTACTATTTTAGATTGCAAGGTAGGGCACAACAGTCAGGCAAGGGTATAAGAAGGGAGTGACGTGAGCTGGTTGAAGGATGGGCAAGGTTCCAATTAGCAAAAATGTGAGGAAGGCATTCCAGGTGGAAGGAACAGCAAAAGCAAAGGCACAGAGGTGGGAAAGTACAGAGTATGTTCAGGGAATGGTTTAACTGGAACCTAGGGATGGGGAAACAAGTTATGCAAGAAAGACCTCAAAAGGAGATTGGGATTAGATCAAGGAGGGCCCAGCTAAAAGGTTTGGTCTTTTTCCCTGTAACCAGTGAACAGCTATTTAAGGTTCTGAGTAAAAGAATAACATGATCAGTGGTGGACTATGCTTTCCTTTGTCGATAGAATCATATCAATAAATTGGCATCTATATGGTTTGTGGCACTGACCTGGCTGTACGTTCCCTGGTAGAAGACAGGGTGTGCCCTCCCATATTTCTCTTCAAAAGAGTGCATAAATGAAACAATGTCCCCAACGGGGTCAGTGACCCGGCTGCGAGGGTCAGGCCGTATAAAACGAAGCGCAAACCTGGGGAGGAAGGAATAAATATCACATGAATCGGCTTACTGTAGTGCATATGGAGCGGGCCAGTTTGTAAAGATTCCTATAATGGAGCCAGAGGTATGGCAGCAAAGGGAGGGGAATGGTCTGTGAATGGATCGTCAAGCCTAAGAGTACAGTCTGGCTCAAAAGCTGCAAAGCAGCAAGTATTGTTCCACCGCCCGTTCAAGAAGAATGCAAACTACTAGGATTATAAATTCCAACACTGGTCTAAACAAATTCTGAGTGCTTTTTGCAGAAAAATTTAGGGCTAGAAAAATGGGGAGAGGAAGACAGAGTATCCAAAAAGATCACAAGTCAGGCTGAGCCCCTAGACGCTCTAGAACAGCACTAAAACAGCAGCCATTAGCCATATGTGACTATCTAAACTTAAATTAAAATTAATTAAATGAAATACAATAAAAAATTCAGTTCCTCAGTCACTCTAGCCACATTAAGTGCTCAAAAGCCACACGTGGTTAGTGGCTTCCACACTGGACAGTGCAGATGCAGAACGTTTCCATCATCACAGAAAGTTCCATTGGACAGCCCTGCTCTTGAACAGGGCTCTGTCTCCTTCTGGTTGTCCTACTTGCCTCTCTCTCTCCTTTCTGTTCTCCTGGGAGTTTGAATTTTTAGTGCATACTCCCAAGCTATTCAAATTATGAACAGGAACTTCAAACTTGAACTTGCAGTCAGGATTTACTTGCTCTTCAAAGGGGCAACTAAACTCTGCTTGATGATTTATGGTTGATGGCATCATGGAGGAAGTTATAAAACTGATCTAGAATACACTGGTAGATTTGGAGACCTGGCAGCTACTGTAAGGTTAAGGATGGTACCACACACATCTGTTTTTAAAGAGCCCATCTTAACATATTTGTATAGCATCATTTATTTATCCTTTGGGTTTCTATGGAAGGCAGCGGGGCAGAGGCTTGATAAGTCAATGTGCTACATAACAGTACACAAGTTGTTTGGATGATACAGTTGCATTAAAACTAGTAACATAGGCCATGCATATTTTTTTTCCCAAGGAAACCAAACAATATTCATATACTTGAGGAATTCTCAGCACAGAAAAGGTGACTGAACTATGACACTTTCCTTACCAAATCTTGAGCCAATTCCTTATCCCCTCAACAAATCCCCCATGTGTATACAACTTCACTTGGAATTTCTCCTGAGTAATCAAATCAAATTCATTGACACAAACATTCCAGAGCAAATTAAAAACAAATGGAAGAAGCTGTGTATGTGGGGGAGTGGTTAGAAATCCTTTAAAAGGTTGATGTTTTGATAACTTTCTCTGAAATTAAGTATTTTAGGATTATCTTAATTACTCTTTCAGTTTTCAAATTTTGATGAATGAATGCATAAAGGCTTTAACTTTTTTGTTTCTCATTACAATATATTCCTATGGCCTACATAATTTAGGACAATCAGCTTTTTAAAAAAATAAAGATGTCAACTCAGTCTTCATTATGATTTTAAAGATTTTTATGTGCCCATTCTTAAGTAAAACAGGGATGGAAAGAGTACTAATTGGTTAACTGGTGACTCCTTAGAACTTTGCTAAAGCAAGGAAGCCATTGAGCAGGCAGTCTCATAAAACACCAAGTGGCCAAGGTGGAAGTATTGTCCTGACCCTTGCACTTCTGCATCTGCGGGGTCCTCACCTCTAGCCTCTGCTCCCTAGAGCAAGGCAAAGGCTATCCCATATTTGCAGGGAGGTACAGGGTGCCCTATACACAAGGCCCAGACCACATGTTCTAGCTCCATCTGTTGGCCTGGATGCCCACAAACATTTTAGTTCCTCATGAAGCCTAGACAGCGGTTCACTTACTACTTGGCTCTAGACCAGACACCCCAAGCCTGAAGTGCCAGCAACTCAGGCCCCCTTGACATTTGCCAGCCCTCGCCTCTCTGTAGCTTCCAGTGCTGAACTCTCTGAATGGTACATGCGGGAAGCAAGAAGAAAGGTGAAGGTTTCGTGAAGCAAGGGGGTTCCAGTGTCAGCAACCTGTAGGTTGCCAGGACAGAAGGAAATGTACAGAAGGAGTGTCTCGAGAGGTGAAACTGTTGTGGGAGGAATCTAGAGAAAAGTGGGTAATCTCAGAGCAAGAGAATTTGTTGGGATTATGAGTAGTCAGATGAAGTTAGATAGTTTAGGGTAAAAGTTAAAAGGAGTATGAAGCTAGTAGACAATGGTGGTTAGAAAGGAAAGGATGTCAAGATTAACTCGGGAATGTAGGGGTGACAAACATGGTGGGAGGAGGGAGGAAAAGGATAAATGTAGGTAGACTGATTCTTGAAAACGACAGGGGAGACTACTGTAAAACAATTCCATTTCACAACATCTGTTATGTTTGAACAATATAAAATATTTTCATACTATATTAAAAGATTGTCCAGGAAGAGTATTAAATCTGATGACAGACTGGCAAGTCAAAACTGATTAAATCATACACCTTATTCTGGTCTGTTTCAGCTCCAGTCTACCCTGTTGCTACTAACACATAAACACAAAGGTACGTACCTAAATATGTCAAGTATCGTGCAATAGGTAAATCGGAATGGAAGCATTATCAAGTAATAACCCCATCCAAGCAGCCCCTGAAATTCCAAAAACAAGGTTAGACAGCATTCTCTCAATCCCTAATACCTCACAAAATGGCTCTTTCAGATTTTCACTCTTTTTTGTCCTTTCACATGATTGTTCCCTCTGCAATAAGGCCCCCTCTTCTGGGCCACCTCATCCTTCTTAAAGACTAACTGCCTTTGATCCTATGTCATCTAACCCTATATTTTTTTTATCACATAATTTTTGTATTAAATCTGCTTCAACACTTTTTGTGCAGCTACTTATATTCTTTAAATTCAAATGCAAGTTTTCTTTCTTTTTTAATAATTTTTTATAATTTTATTTATTTATTTTTCCCCCAAAGCCCCAGTAGATAGTTGTACGTCATAGCTGCACGTCCTTCTAGTTGCTGTATGTGGGACGCGGCCTCAGCATGGCCGGAGAAGCAATGCGTCAGTGCACGCCCGGGATCCGAACCCGGGCCGCCAGCAGCGAAGCGCGCGCATCAACTGCAAGATTTCCATCACAACCATAAATGTTCATTCTTTCCTTTTTAGATTTACACATTAAAATAAAGTATACAGAAATAGCAAGAAAGATAACCACTATTACTACCTTGGACATTTGTATATAAATGACAACCACAATTATAAATTATAAATTCCCATATAGCTGCTAACGTTAGTAATAATGCTAATTATTTTTTTTAACAATGTTGATTATTGCTGCTATTATTAACTAGCAAATATATACAGGGCTCTACAGTTTACAAAGCATTTCTTAGGTGTCATATTGTGTTAGCCTGAGACCCTCCCTACGTCCGTGGCCAGGGAGCCCTAGAGGACCGCGGCTGACATTAGGGTCCCAAACACTGAGCCAAGCCCAAACCAAGCTGAGGAAACACTGGGCATACACATAACTACTCCTTTGGTCATAGAATTGCTCTAGGAATCTATGTTCTTCTACTTCAGAATACCCCAAAATGACTATGTGGAAACTCCATTGTTAAAATGTCATGCAGTACTCCACAAAAAGGTATGATGATGGAGTCAATTCTAACTGCTGCAAGGTTAAAGGAAGTGTGCTTTTTTGGAATTCTAAGTCCAAGTACAAGAGGTGAGTGTAACTCCAAGAATAAGAATGAGAAACTCCAAAAAGTCCTCTGGAGTTCATTATCAGCACACACATCTGACTTCTCTGATTAGACTGGCTCTTTATTCATCTCTGGATCCCCAACAGCAAAATACCAGGCACAGCGGAGCACTCTCTAGTGCCTGTTGAGTTTAACGGAATCACCTCCTTGCTACTAGCCCTTCAAGACTAATTTCAAAGATATGGCCAACAGCTCCACAAAGACTCCAAGTACTTCCCTAGAAGTAGCTTAAAATTCAGTAAAATGAAGCAACAAAGAACTCAGAAAACATTCTAACTTAAAAGTGGAAGATCTATTAAACATATAGCAAACAATTTTAGACATGTAAATAATAACTACTGTGTACCATTTAAGAGTTTTCTTACTGTGCGGAAAACTCTTCAAATAACTAGCAAAGACTGAAAAAAAAATGGATAGTTACTATATCAATTTATTAAGGAACCAAGGAAAAATGATAAACCCAATAAATCTACCAAGGAGCTAGGTCTAGCAAAGAGGTTTACATTCTGAGTATTTCTTCTGCTCCTACCATACAGAGATCAATATAATGAAGTGAATGGACTTATAAAATTACAAAGGGGGACATTCCAGCTATGAAGTAACTTGCCCTTGCTTGTGGTCTTGAGACAACATAGCTGTAGATCCTCTGGTCAGCTGTATTAACTTGCAGGGGTCGGGATGGAGGTGGGTTGAAAACACTTGGTACACCCTCTTGCTCATTTAATCTGTCCTGTACAGCAGCCTGAGAAGGAAAAAAGAGGAGTAAGAGTTTCAGTGATGCTCAAATCAACTCAAAGGAAGAGACGAGGCAACCACTGCTTGCTGTTTCAAAACAGGTAACCTGAGAAGTGTGTCTTCACAGACCTTTGACTTGCTAAGGTGGGCGGCAATGCATGGTGATGGCTCCAGAATTCACACATAGTAGAGGAGTCCAAGGAACTTGTCCGGAAGCTCCATTTCTGCAGCAAGCATACTGCTTTTACTCAGATAGTATGTGTTATTCAGGGTGGCTGGGATACAAGGGCCTTCACTGCTACAAGCCTAAGGAAAGCCATCCACAGAGAATATACTGTAGACAGCGCTCCTAGAGCTGTGCGATGGAGGTGTTTGATGGAGGGCTTGGCTTTGGAGTACAGAAACTTAGGTCTCAATCCCAGTTCCACCACTCAGAAAAGCTACTTGACTTATGAGCCTCAGTTTCCTCATGTGCAAAATGAAGGAACAATATATCTCAGGGTTAATTTGAAAATTTAATGAGATGACATACATAAAGATCCTAATACAACTCCTGGCAGACAGACGATATTCAGTTTAAAAAAAAAACCTTCCTTCTTAACTCCGCCCCTGAAAATGGATTTTGTCCCAGTGTAGTAAAAAAATTTGGCCTTACCCAAAGAGAGGTCTGGTCTTTGCTTTCTGCTCCTGGGAGATAATCTATGTCATATCTGATGGGAGTATCCTTGTTACCGGATCTTAGGGTGGGGCTGGCCACCCAGAAAGACCAACCATGTGACTTAGGCTAATGCAGGATCAGTTGACCTGAAGACTGAGTTCAATCACACAGGCAACCAATCAAATCAATCATGCCTATGTAATGAAGCCCCAACGAAAACTCTGAACTCTGAAGCTGAGGTAAACTTCTCTAGTTGGCAATACTTCATGCATACTGTTATATACATCTATGCCAGGAGGGTAACATGTCCTGATTCCATGAGAGAGGAGTATGGAAGCTTTGTGCTTAGAACTCAGGACTCTGCCCTACGTGTCTCTAGTTGATTTTAATCTGTATCCTTTCCCTGTAATAAATTGTAACCGTGAGTATAATAGCTTTCAGTGAGCTCTTCTAGTGAATTATCAAACCTAAGGATAGTTTTGGGAACCCCATGAACTTGCAGTTGCTGAAACAAGGGAGGGTGGTCCCTGGGAGGACTTCTATGCCCTCTAACCTTGATAGGTGGCTTTAAACTTTGCAGCGTGGCTAACTCCAGTTCTCTAGTTTTCAAAATCACATTATACAAAAATTAACTCAAAATACATTAAAGATCTAAATGTAAGAGCTGAAATTATAACACTCTTAAAAGAAAACACAGGTGAAAATCTTTGTGACCTTGGATTAGGCAATGGTTTCTTAGATATGACACTAAGAACATAAGCAACAGAAGAAAAAAAATAGATAAACTGGACTTCATCAAAACTGAAAACTTTTGTGCATCAAAGGATACTATCAAGAGAGTTAAAAGACAACCCACAGAATGGGAGAAAATATTTACAAATCACATATCTGATAAGGGTCTAGTACCTTGAATATATAAAGAACTCTTCCAACTCATCATCAAAAAGACAAACAACTCAATTTAAAAATGGGCAAAGGATATGAACAGACATTTCTCCGAAGAAGATATACAAATGACCAACAAGCACATTGAAAAGATGCTCTAACTATTGTGGGCCATCAGAAAAATGCAAATCAGAATCACGAAATACTACTTCACACCCACTAGAATGGCTATAATATAAAAGACAGATATTAACAAGTATTGGAAAGGATATGGAGAAAGTGGAACCCTCATGCACTATTGTTGGGGATGTAAAACAGTGTAGCCTCTTTGGAAACAGTTTGGCAGTTCTTCAAAAAGTTAAACATAGAGTTATCATGTGATTCAGCAATTCCACTCCTAGGTACATATCCAAGAGGAATGAAAACGTGTGTCCACACAAAAATTTGTACACTAAAGTTCACTGCAACATTACTGATAACAGCCGGAAACAGATACAACCCAAATGTCTATCAACTGATGAATGGATAAAGATATTGTGGTATATTCATACAAAGTAATATTATTTGACAACAAAAAGGAATGAAGTACTGATACTATGATATAGATAAATCTTGAAAACATTATGCTAAATGAAATATCAGACACAAAAGGACAAATATTGTCTTATTCCACTTATATGAGGTATCTAGAATAGTCAAATTTTATAGAGACTAAAAACAGAATTGTGGTTCCCAGAGGCTGGGGGGAGGGGGCAATGGGAAGTAAACGTTTAACGGGTACAGAGTTTCAGTTAGGGATGATGAAAAAGTTCTGAAGATGGATACTGGTAATGGTTGCACAACAATGTAAACGTACTTAACCTCACCAAATTATACACTTAAAAATGGTTAAAATGGTAAACTTTATGTTATGTATATTTTACCTTAACACAAAAAAGCGAATGAAGTACGGATACATGCTGCAACATGGATAAACCTTGAAAACATTAAGTCAAAGAAGCCAGTCACAAAAGACCACATACTATGATTCCATTCATATGAAAGTCCAGAAGAGGCACATCTATAGACAAAAAGTAGATTAGTAGTTGCTTAGGGCCTGGGAAGTGGAGTGGGAGTTCCGGAAAGGAACAGGAAGGTAATAGCTAAAGGGTGTGAGGTTTCTTTGGGGGGTAATGCTCTCAATATTCTAAAACATTTTGGGGAAAATGTTTTAAAATTGATTGTTGTAACGGCTACACAGCTCTGTGAACATACTAAAAACTACTGAATTTCACATTTTAAATGGGTGAATTGTTTGGTGTGTGAATTACATATCAATAAAGCTGCTATTTAAAAACCACAACTGATAGCATTTGCTGTCAATTATAAAATTAGAGCTTTCAGGCAAAAATTAGAATTTTGGAAAACATGTATTTGCCACTATAAGCTTGACCATTTCCTAATACCTTTTAAAAGCTTTTCAGATGAGTTTGGTGGTACTATTAACGAATGACAACATATAGTAGAATCTATCAACATTTGGAAGATCTGTATTAATTCAGTGAATTAATATCTTCCAAACAACCAATGCGTGAAGCTACAAAATCATGCACTGGTAAAAGATCCTTTCAAAGTACAGACAGACCAATAGATTTCAATGTAAAAGAGGATGAGAACTTCCTTGATATATCAGGTTTCAAATTCCATATTTCAACTAACCTTTAAGAAACTATCACAGTAATAAGGAATATCCAGTTATCTGAAAAGGCTATTGAAATACTCCTCCCGTTTCCAACTACATATCTGGGGGAAGACAGGTTTTCTTCACATACTTCAACTAAAACTACATATCACAACAGAGTAAAGGCAGAAGCAGATATGAAAATCCAGCTGTGATCTATGAAAGAGATTTGCAAAAATTTATGTTAACATGTAATGAGTTTATTTTTTTAAATGAATTAATAAACTTTAAGAAATTTCTCAGTTTTAATTTGTAATATGGTAATAAATATCAATAGCTATAACCCATACAAACAGAAGCTCTTTGAAGGTTATCAATAATTCCTAAGGGTAAAGAGTGACACCAAAAAGTCTGAGAACCTCTGGTTTATTTGGGGAAAAATATACACATATATTTTTAGACAGGCATAAAAATACCTGGAGAAAAGAAATCCAAAGAAATTGTTAATATTGCTACATTTGGGGTGCGGGACTGAGAAATAGTGGTAGGGAAGTGATTTGAGTGGAATTTGTTTCATAGGTCACCTTAGGCTTGGTCTGAACTTTTATTTTTACACATTTTATGTATTATTTTTATGAGTTACTAAAATAGACTAAAGTGAAAAAAGCTGTAAATACAGCATAATCCCATTTGTGTAACAAGCAAACTATATATATCTATATAGCCATATAAACGAACATAAAAAGTCTGAAAGGATATGCACTAAAATTTAACACTAGCTATCTATGAAGTAGTTAAGGGTCAGCATTTTCTTTACACTTTTCGGAATTCTTTGCCTGCCTGGGTACGCACATGTGCATAGGTATTTCTGCAACAAGCTTTTAATATTTCTGTAAGTTGTTCCATATTAAAAGATGGTCGACATTATACCAGATAATAATAAAGCAGGAGTGGCAGTATTAATAAATCAAACCAGAATTTAAAGCAAAAGCATTATCTGATATTAACAAAAGATATTACAAGAAAGTTCTAACAGCCACGTGTCTTTGTGCCAAATAAAAGGCAAACTATATAAAAGTCAGAAAGTCTCCCCCCAAAAAGACAGAATTTATTAATGTATTTTATTTGCACCATGTACTGCCTTTCCAAAGCACACAGAAAAGTAAGCAGTCTCTTTGATATATTTGTTATTAACAGTAGAAAAGTAGATACATATTATCAGCACATTAAGCAGAGTTATATACATAAGGAAGTCTGGAAGGACACATACTAAAACATCAAATGTGGTTATCTCAAGTACGATTATCAAGAACTTTCATTTTCAACTTCACCAACTCTGTGTTTAAAACATTTTGTAGACATGTATTGTTGTTGTAATTAGAAAAAAAAAGACATTACCAGTGGGAAATAAAGAAGTTTATAAAACCACATTCATCTTGTCAAGTAGTTTCATTAAGTAAACAGAAAAAAAAAAGAAATAGGTTTTATTTATTTATTTATTTTTTAAGATTTTATTTATTGATTTTTTTCCCCCCAAAGCCCCAGTAGATAGTTGTATGTCGTAGCTGCACATCCTTCTAGTTGCTGTATGTGGGACGCGGCCTCAGCATGGCCGGAGAAGCAGTGCCTCAGTGCACGCCCGGGATCCGAACCCGGGCCACCAGCAGCGGAGCACACGCACTTAACCGCCAAGCCACGGGCCGGCCCAGAAATAGGTTTTAATCATACATTTAATAAGCTTGATTGAATACAGACACCAAACCTTTATCCCACAAAAAAAAACACATTCCTTAATAAACACCTAGTTGTCAACAGTGGTTACTTCCAGGAAAGAAGGAAAAGGAGACGCAGGCACCGGCACAACATGCAAGCAACTTACACGGGGCTTCGATTTTATCGGTATTTGTTTAAAAGAAATCTCAAACTAGTATTGCAAAATGTCTGGCTTTCAGGAGTTAGATGGTAGGTACACGGTTGTTCCCTTTATCTCTACATTTTCTCTAAGTTTGAAATATTTAATTTAAAATATATGTATATATATTTCATAATGTTAACAGAACGTTATTAAAACACAAGGACCTCAATAGATACCTATATAAAATAAAATGAAAGATTAATATGAAAAGGATAAACAAAAAAAAAGCAAGCTACCAGGAATTCCAAATACGTTCCTAAATAACTCTTGGGCCAAAGACGAAAACCTGAACTTTAAAAATATATTTTCAGGGGCCGGCCCAGTGGCGTAGCAGTTAAGTGCGCGCACTCCGCTTCGGCAGCCCGAGGGTTCACAGGTTTGGATCCCGGGCACGCACCAACGTACCGCCTGTCAAGCCATGCTGTGGCAGCGTCCCATATAAAGTAGAGGAAGATGGGCACAGATGTTAGCCCAGGGCCAGTCTTCCTCAGCAAAAAAGAGGAGGATTGGCATTGGATGTTAGCTCAGGGCTGATCTTCCTCACAAACAAACAAACAAAACAACCAATGAGAAGAGAGGATAATAGAATAGATACAGAAGAGAGTAAAGGACACGCTACTTTGTATAGGTTATGATAAAAAATTTGAAAATCTCTAAGAAAAAAGCATTTTCTAAGAAAGTTTATCAAGGAAGATGTAGGAAATACATTATGAATGATGGGGGAAAACATGAAAAAGTTAATAGAGAACAGGCAGAAAGTTTTCAAGTGCTTTCCTTCACATCTATGCTATTAACACTTCTCTACTCATTTTATCAAGTCAGTCATTTTACAAAGCCAGCATATGCTTGAAATCAAAATCTAACAAGGAAACAGCACAAGAGTATCACACAGAGCAACATCATTCCCTTTGCCTGAAATGCATTTCCCCAATTTTCACATTCGTCATTCCTTTTTATTGTTCAGGTGTCAGTTCAAATATAACCTTCTCAGAAAGGCCTTATTTGACCACCTTATTTAAAATAACTTCCCATATCCTTTCTGCTGCATTTCCTACACTCATCTTATTCGTAACATTTATTACAAACTGAAATTATCTGGAATTAAGCTCCATGAGACTAGGGACTTAGTCTTGTTTGCTGGTATAATGCCAGAGCCTAGAATTTAATTGCTCAAAAATGCGTGTTGAATAACTAAATAACACTTAGGAATATATATTCAGAAATCCAGAATCCTATTCAAATAACATACCATAATTAAAACATAGTAATTTTAACAGAGATGAAAAGGGTGTTTGATAAAATTCAACATCCACTCTTGAGACAAACTATTAATATATCAAGAATGGGGGTCAAGAGATACTTTATTGAGAGCCTATGACATCTAGAATCAGTTTTAGATGCTGGGAATACAGCAGTTAACAAAATAAAAAAAAATCTCTGCTCTCATGGAGCTTACATTCTGCTGGATCTATCTCAAAACAACAACCAACATCACATTAGATAATAAAACATCAGAGGCAGTATGGTAAGGACAAGAGGTTTGCTATTACCACACATTGTTCTGAAGTTCTAGCCAATTCAATGACCGAGTAAAGAAACAAAAGATCCATATACTGAAAAAAAATCACTGGAATTGCAGATGACACAATTACCCAGAAAATCCAATAGAATAAACTATAAAATATGGAATAAGAAGATTCATATTAAGGTATCTGGTTACAAACCAAATATATAAAAACCAGTAGTTTTCCCAAAGAGCCATTAAGAAAAAATAAAGAGGGAACGGGACTATACTGAAGGATTTGGGCACCATTTTTCTATGATTTTACAAACTTTGATCATAATCTTCACCTTTCTCACACATTTATTTTTAAAGACCAAAGAGTTGTAAATTTGAAAAAAATCTGTTGAGAGAAAAGATTCCTGCTGTAGAAAAAATGTCTTTGATTTGTTATGAGACCAAGGGAAAAAAAAGAAAGCTCAAAATGAATCCTATTATACCTCTATGTTCCAGTTATGCTGTTCCAAGGTATGGCGACACTGATCCATAGATTCTATGCCAGTCAGATCCTGAAAAGAAGGACAAAAACAAAAAGTTACTTAGGGAAAAACCAATAGTACATATGTGGATTGTTACCTCTAATAGAATTCCTACAAATACTGCTGGGAAGATACACTAAAAAGGGTTGAGGGTAAATGTTCAAGTATGGTTAAACATCACTATTCAGAATTCATCCAGTCAGTTATAGCAGACTGTTTTTTTCTAATTACTCCCACAGAACAAAAAAATGAAAATTTGTCTTTTAAAACTTCAAGGCTTTCAATTAAGAAGTCTACTGATTAAAATCAATATTCTCTCAAATTCAAGTTTAAAAAGTTAAAGATTTCTTCGACCTCTGGAATCCAGCAAAATATTCTTTAATGCTAACCAACTATACTGTTTATAGTACATAATGATATAATAATTGCAGGTTTCTGCAAATGTAATGCCTTTCATTAACTTACGCCATTTCACCTATTCGCATATAACCTATCTTATATGAACTGTGTAAAACTTTCTAAACAAAGTCTGTAATTCAGATGTTTCCCTACGATAAGTATTTTTCCTACTCTTTCTCCTTGGACTGTTCTCAGGTTTCACTTTGTCTCTGACCAAAGCTCCTTCTGTAGCTCCTCTTCTTCCATTCCTCTAAATGTAAGAATTTCCCTAAGAACGAGTCCTTGGCTTTAGTCTTTCTATACCTCCCTCCCTGGCAATCTCATTTAATCCTCAGCCTTCAACCACTCTATCTACTCAGACGACTCCTATTTCAATTTCGGGACCTGCTATCTCTTCTGAAGTTTAGCAGCACATTTCCAATAGCCTCTGCAACATTCCCACCTAGATGTGGCACCAGTATTTCAAATGCATCATTTTAAACCACTGTATGTGTCAACAACACCAACTACCCTCCAAAATACACAGGCAAAGATGACATCTGGAACCTCAGCCTCATCGAGTACTCTATCCCCTGAACTCCACATTTCATCAGTAATCAAGTTCCGACCATTTTCTATAGCACATCTGTAACCACACTGCCAGCATCTTTAATCAAGCTTTAATAACACCTCAAGTGAATCGTCAAAATAATTTGTTTTGTGTGTGTGTGCGTTACTCTTCTGCTCAAAACTTTCCAGCTGACTGGATAACAAATTCCAAAATCCTTAGCTTGGCATTCAAGTGTTCCTATAATGTGGCCCCAGCTTTGCTTTCTAGATTTTCTCACTATTTCCCTTTAAACGACCAATATTCAACAAATCTAACAGTTCATGTGTATGACGAGTAACCAGAATTTCCACAGAACTAAATCCTAGCCGTCCTTCAAGGTCTAACAAATCCACTCAACCAACCTTTCATGCAACAAATATCTATTCTATGTATTACTTACTATGTCCAAGGGATATAGAAATGAATATAATATAGTCTCTATCCTCAAGAAATTCCTCTGAACAACCAGCAAGCAACAGGAGAAAGAGATTGATTTCAATCTGACAATAACGTGGTAAGATGCACTGGTGAGTCAGGAGCCTGAGGTTCTTGCGTTCATTCTGCACCCTGTGACCATGAACCAGACATGTTTTAACTCTGGATTTCAGCTTCCTTTATGTGCAACATGAGGGATTTAATTTGGACTGGATATCTTTTCCAGAGCCTAAAAAAATAAAAACTGAAGTTTGAATTCTTTAGGTAGGCAATTGTTTATGTAAAAAAATTACATGAGTAGTATATAAACTTTGCTAATAATTTTTATGTTTAAAATATGTTAAAAATTTCAATACTGAAATTCAAAAGCTCTGTTAAGAACTCTAGAGCTCTATTAAGAACCACTGACTCTGACAGCTCTGACAGTCTGGACTTTTGTTCCTGACCACTCCAGGCCTCTTATCAGTTTGGCTATTGCCTTCTGGCTTGTATTAGGCTCCCCTTTAACTTCCAATTTCCTTTCAGCCCACTGCAGAAGACTAGGATGTCCAGGGTTCCACCTCCTCTCTGTACATTCTCTTTAAGAATCAGACTCTAGTTTTACTTTCTTTTCAGGCTATGAATGACCCCTCCATCTTTAAATATCAAAACTATTTTCTCTCTCTCTGTGTACCTATTATTTTCTACCTTCTATTATGATTATTTACATTCATTCTACTGCCTTATCAGAGGATGTAGGTTCCCTGAAAGCAGTGTCTGTGATTCATCTATATTATATAATGCTCCCAGTACCTAGCACACAGCAAGGGCTTAAAAAGTTGCAGAAAAAGTCCAAATTAAAAAGACCTTTTTGTACAAGCTTCAATAATCGTACCTATAAACTGAAATCCTCTAGACATTTTCACCAAATCTCATTGTATGTTAAAAGCTTGGGGGTTTTTTAACTCCCAATGTTCTGACTAGATGCTAAGCTGGCTATTACAATTACAAATTTGCAGAATCTTCCTGGAGATCAATAAGTCAGGGATGGAGCTGGGGAATCTGTTTCTTTTAAACCTCCTCAGCTGGTTCTAATGCATAGCCAGGCTGGGAAATCCATAATATTATACAATTCTACATAGGATCAGAGATAATAAGTCAATAATAACTTTTTTAAAAAAAGGTTATAAACATTGTAGGAGAGAACAATCAGGGTAATTGCACATCTTCAGTATGCTGAAATACTTAACCTAATTTGCAAGCAAAACTCTTTTGTAAGTAGTAAATCAGGGTAAACTGGAAGCCCAACTGAACAAGCCTGTTTCAATCACTACTGATGAGCATTAAAAACATGCACTAGGAATAAGCAACACAGCATACAACTAGGACAGGACTATTCATTCATATATCAACAAATACACACAGACCCAGTATTCTGGATATCCAGGATACAGATACAGTCCCTGCTCTCATTAAGTCTGTATCCTACTAGAGGAAGACTGACCAAAACAAACTACACACACAGAGCAAATAAATGAACAAAATTTTGGGCTAGGGCATTCCTTTGGATTGGCTGCTCAAGGAAGGCCTCTCCAAGGAGATAGTAGAGATCTGACGAGAGATAAGGGTCCAGCCATGGGAAAATATGAGAGAAGGGTATTCTAGGCAGAAGGACAACAAATGCAAACACTCTGAGACAAACGGATATATGACACCATGCATTTGTCAAAACCCACAGAAGTTTATAGCATAGTGAATCTTAGTGTATGTAAGTTTAAGAAATCATTTACAAGGTCAGAGGATCCCAGGATGGAACACAGACAGACTGTGACAAAAGAATCTAACTGTATTACAAATATATGAAACAACTTCATTGAAGGAGGTGGGGGGGAAAGGTGCTGATCTAAGTAACTCTGGAAATGAGTGGAGTCTGTAAGACTATGTATGTTGTAGACGTGTGGTGTTTTCCTACCTCCAGACAGTATTACCAAATTAATGTGTAAAGAGCTCTATTCAATCGGCTTAAAGACAAACAAGCACCATACAAATTGTTTACTCTCAGAGGTATGGAGACTGACCCAGGTGTTTTTCAGGTTCACATGATCTGGGATAATCTTTGATAAATAAAAGCTAGTTTAAGTTTGCTGGTTGGTGAAAGCAGGCATGTCTTCGAAGTTGTCAATATTGAATGTAATGCAAACTAATAAAATAAGCTCATGCTATTTCTGTGTTACAAAATTTTGTCAACAAGAAAAATAACTTAAGATGATGGTTAGCTGTTTAATCTAAGCATAAGTGTTAAAAACAAGTAATTTAAGCAGAATTTGTCAACAAGCCAAATAAGATAACATATCAGGACACTCATTGCTGGACAAGGGTCTACCTAGTTTTGGCTTTTTAAATCTTTTTGTAAAGAAACAAAGGATGTTTGGGTCTGTTGATGAACATGTTTTACGCCACATTAAAACATTTTACTATGCGGAAGAATATACTTCTAAAAATTTTGATAAATTTGCTAACTTACTACAGGATGCTAATATACGATAGGCAGTTTACAAAGTTTTCTTAGATCACTGGTTTGCCCTTAATAAGAAACTGTAAACAAAGATTTTTCTTTACCTTTAATGTAATCTGCCTAGAAAACAAAGATTCTGTGTTTTTTCTTTATCAGGTCTTTGATTACTTAAAAATCACAAAACTGATTCTTACAACTACATAACTTACTTTGGTTACAATCTCATTTGACCAAATCTTTTGATATTTTTGACAAACTTTCCAAGATCAAATTCTAAATGAAGTCTTTTTGACCTTGAACTAACTTCAGAATTTTTCAGAGGGCCCCTGAAACATCTCAAAGGATTTGTTCTCTTTCCCTGTAATAAGGGAGATACTATGTTACATTACATGGGAAATACTGTCAAATAAGCCTTCTTGGGGCCCGACTGGTGGCGTAGTGGCTAAATTCGTGGCTCTGCTTCAGCAGCCCGGGGTTTGCGGGTTTGGATCCTGGGTGTGGACCTACATACCACTCATCAAGCCATGCTGTGGTGGCGTCCCACATACAAAGTAGAGGAGGACTGGCACAGATGTTAGTTCAGGGACAATCCTCCTCAAGCAAAAAGAGGAAGATTGGTAACAGATGTTAGCTTAGGGCCAATCTTCCTCACCAGACACACAAAAAGAATAATAAAGCCTTATTAAAAAAAAAAATAAGCCTTCTTTATGTTGTGTACATTATAGGTGTTCCAGAAATTATGGAAATTCTCCAAACTAACCTTTGTAAGCAGAGTTGAAACAATTACTCTTTCTCCCTACCTGATCCCTTCAGAATTTGGAAACTTGGTGAATATTCTTGATGGAAACTTGGTGAATATTCTTTATGGCAATATAGTTACTTGTGTAAGTTCAATAAGAATCTGTTCTTCTACCAAGACTTGGACTGGAATGTCATATTTGGGTGAGATGTGCATAGACTCAGATAGGACCAGACAGCTTTGGGGAACAAAGGTTGGCTTTGTGGAGCCAATAAAGCCCCTTGCAAATATTGGCCTGGTAACTTGCTTACAGGGTTCCCAACAGCCTTACCAGATGAGTAAGGAAAAACACTTCCTGGCAGGCTCAGGAACCT